TATAGACTGGAGTAAAATTCAATGCAAATTCAGCTTTGCCATAATGATAATTTATTAAATAAAAAAATCAGTCATTTAAAAATAGTAATAATGTTTTACATTTTTTACTATTTTTGATCAAATAAATGCCTTGGTGGGCTTAAGAGAATTCTTTAAAAAAACATGAAAAAACCCCAAACTTTTGAATGGAAGTATAATTATAAAATACACTATCCTGTATTAAATTTGCTTATCCCTCTGTGGAAAAACAATGAAAATTTGTTGGTCCGAAAATTGAGGAACTCTTTCTTAAGAAACTTGTTTTGTTGAGGTTACTGAATTTTTTTTGTTTTTTCTTTCCTCTTGGTGCTGCTTTGAAATGCTCTTGAAATCTTCATACTGTTTTGCCTAAATTCATGTTGTCTGTATTATCAGTCACATCATCTTGTTTTATATATTTTTAACAAAACATATTTCTGTCTTTTATGTTTTCAATCATCTAGGAGGATAAAGAAGATTACTCTGCCCAGCACAGGTCGTTTGCGTCACTTCACTAATGAAACCCTCTTAGATGTTCTCTTCTACAACAGCCCAACCTACTGCCAGACCATTATGGACACCGTGGCTTTTGAGATCAACCGCTTACATTCATTGTTCATGCAAAGAAACCCAGACTTCAAAGGCAGAGTGTCCGTGGCTGGACACAGCTTGGGTGAGAATCCTTTGCTTTTACATGCTTTAACTCTAGTTCAAGGTTTATCATTTAAGACCATGAATCAAAGTAATGCTCTGTTAGACGTCTGTTAGGGCACAATGATAGTGTGTAAAAAAAACAACATGCACTAGAATTGATATTGTTTTTTTACAGTTTTCTTTCAATTTGTTATTTCCCCTAACCTGTAGGCTCTTTGATACTTTTTGATCTGCTGTCCAATCAGAAGACCGGCTCACCTTCAGCAGGTCCAGTGACCAATGGAAATGCTCTGCCTAATGTGAAACAGGTATCAGTACATTTTGATTGAAGATAACCATAAAATGCTCAACATATGACATGTTCTGTTTTATGGCATCCCAGGAACACACAGCCTTTATCTGTGGGTGTTTAAAGGGATCCTATTATGCTCTTTTACAAAGTCTTGATTTTGTTTTGGGGGTGTACTAGATCAGGCTCTCATACTAGGTTGTTCGAAAAACACATTATTTTTCACATATTTTACATTATTACAACACCTCTCTCCTCAGTCTGGCATGAACGGCTCGAATAGTTCCTGTATCAAATGAAGGCCTGCCTTCTGAAATACGAAATGTGCTGTGATTGGTTAGCTGGGCCAGTGCGTTTTGTGATTGGCAGCACTCGGCGCCTGGTTGAGAAATGACAAGCCCCTTAACATAGCCGCCTGCGAGCTTCAGTGTAAATATTGCGTCAATATCAAATCAATTTGAGCGCGATTTAAACCCGGATGATTGTAACCACTCTAAGTTCATCTGCCTTGTGAAAACTAGCGCGTCTCCGACATAGTGATAACACTCGTTGCCTTCTCTAGTGCAGCTCAACCAGCTCTCGTCCCATTCGTCGATATTTGTGATATCACAAATCCCGGAAAATATGCGTTGTAGTCCAAACGGGTCGTTCGTTGTAGTTTTTGAAAAGTGATTTCTGTTAAATAAAATGTCCTTTTGAATTGGACTTTGAGCTTTGTAACTTTGCAGATCTTTTTTATGCTCAAACAGCAACATGACAAACTAACTAAAGTTGAAAAAGCATAATAGGACCCCTTTAAGATGACTTCTAAACTTTATTTGAATATTGTTTAATTGCTGTAGGTAAGTCCCGTCATCCAGGCCAATGAAGTGCTTACTGTAGTGGCTGCTGAGGAAGAGTCTAAAGAGGAAGAAGAGGAGATTGGCAACCTGTCATCAGTTCTGGAGAAGTTGGGGTTGTCTGAATATCTGCGCACCTTTGAAACTGAGAAGATTGATGTTGAGTCTCTGGTGAGAGCATTTAAATTATTATTATTTTTTTAACATTGTTTTGTTTTTTTAAACAGAATCAGTAACTCATCACGGCTATTTCTCCTTCTATGTTGCAGCTGATGTGCACAATAGATGATCTGAAGGAAATGAGTATTCCTCTGGGGCCACGTAAAAAACTTGCCAATTTTGTCAAAGAGAAGTCTGCAAAACAGGCATATTTTCAATTGTCTTTAAATTGCATCTGGCAGTGTTTGCACTTTTTATTTGTCCAGTTTCATGTGACACTTTTGTTTCATGGCAGGCGGCCCGAAAGGCTGTGAAAGAGAAGACTGTAGAAAAAGAGGAACCAAAAGAGACCCAACTTCCCGTTCAGACAGAGCCCACACCGGATTCTGCCATCAGCAAACTGCCAGCAGGAAGGACCATGTCCTCAATCCATGTGGATTACAACTATTTTGAAATAGGCACAGGGCAGGTAAAGCTCGAACATACACCATCCCAAATTGCTCTATGGATCAAGATGATTGAATGAAGGTATCTTGTCAGAACCTGATTGTGGATCTGATATGTGAACATGCTCTGCAATCTTGGATGTTCCTCTCCAGGTGTCGGTGGTATATCATGCTCTGGACTTTGAACCGGTGAATTTCTTTGCTCTCGGTTCTCCAATCGGGATGTTTCTGACAGTGCGTGGGGTGGAGAAAATCGAAGAGTCTTACCAGCTTCCCACCTGCAAAGGGTTCTTCAATATCTACCATCCAGTAAGTGGTGTCTTAGCTTGTCTACTGTTTATCTACAATGGCATCCAATCTTTTGGAAACAAAAATGGTTTAGGACTAAAGTGTCAGTGTAAATGAATAAAGATGAACACCACAATTTTAAACTTAAACATTCTCACTGTTAGCTATGTATCTAATGCATTAATGTTATTGTGCACTCAGCTGGATCCAGTTGCATACAGAATTGAACCCATGATCTTACCTGACATTGAGCTGGAGCCGGTTTTGATCCCTCACCATAAAGGGAGAAAGAGGCTTCATCTTGGTATGTAATAGACCATTTCTGTGCATTTCATGCATTTTTAAAATTATTCTAGAAATATTTTATTTTAAATAAATAATTTAATTAATAATAGCAATTTAAATAATATATATATTATTTAAATAATAATACATATTTAAATATATCATTTAAGAAATTATATTTTTAAAAATGAAATAGTAAATTATCCAGGCACAATTGTCCAGGAATTTTTTTTTTCTTGTGTTGATAAAGCAAAACACAATCAACAATCATTTTAAATAAGCATATTAAGCAATGTCATAATTATAATGAAATGCATACATTTTCTTGTTGTTTTTTTTGTGGGGGAGTGTGATTATTTATTTATTTTGTGCGTGTGTCTTGTGTCCAGAATTAAAAGAGAGTTTATCCAGGATGGGCTCGGACATAAAGCAAGGCTTCATCAGCTCTCTGAAGAGTGCTTGGCAGACTCTGAATGAGTTTGCCCGGGCTCACACCTCATCTGCTCAACTGCATGAACAGCTCGCCATGGTCGCCAGTCAAATCAAAGCAGAAGAGGAAAAGCAGCAAGGGGAAGGTAAGTTAACCACAGTGAATATCCTCTTACCCTTATCCGTTTCATCATTTCAATGTGCACACTTCAGCTCCAGCTCAATCAAAATCTGAATCTCACTGTTTGTTTGCAGAGGAGGATGAGAGTCCTGAACCTCAGAAGGAAGAGACACAAGTAAAAGTGGGCATGCTGAATGGAGGAAAACGGATTGACTACGTCCTGCAAGAGAAACCCATCGAGAGCTTCAATGAATACCTGTTTGCACTCCAAAGTCATCTGTGTTACTGGTATGTGATGTTCCTTAACAATATCATTATGTAATTGCATTGTCATGTTGTGTTTTACAAACAGAATCTTTTGTCTCTTTCCTCAGGGAATCTGAAGATACAGCTCTGCTTCTCCTCAAGGAAATTTACAAGACCATGAACATACTTCCAGATCAGGCAGTGCATTGATGTGATGCTCATTAAAACTCTTCGGCCATCAGAAATCACATTACTTTGAAGATAAAAGAATATTTTAAACTGTTTTCAACTCGGACTGTCTTGATTTTATTTTATATGGTTGTAGTCTATATTAAAATGAATACACTTGTATTATTCCATGTGTCTTAAATTAAGAAATTAAAGTCAAATAGTGGATTTCAATACCACAATGGTTTAAAATGGCATTTTTATAGCTTATAGAGCTGGGAATGTTTGAGTGCAATTATAAATGGTATTAACAAAACCTTTATCTATAGTTAGTAAAGGAATAACTATGCGGTTTGAAAACTACAACCAACAAGTTATAATAAACTGAACTATTAGTAGCTATTGTGTTGCTCTGGCTTTTTAGATCAGTTATCTTCTGTATATATTGGGATATTTAAACAATTTTTATATTTACTGGCACATAGAATTTGCTTCCAAAACAAAAATGTATGACATACTGGGGATTCAAATAGCAGGTCTACATTTCAAGGTTCACACTGCTGCACCACATCACTGCTTATTTCAGGGACAAAAATCATTAACCATGGTTAGTTGTATTCCTTTTATTTATTTTAGAAAATAAGTAATGGAACTCAACATCCTGACCAATTTAAGGTTCTACAACAGATAGCAATGGTTATTTTTAATCTACCTGCCGCTTAAAGTTGAATGAATACATAATGTCCTCGTCACAAGTGGTTTGTTCAGTCAGAGAAATGTCCTTTAGGGATGTTAAAAAGTTGTTGCTTTTTTGCAGCAACTCACTATATACCACAGATTCATTTCAAAGTGGTTGCAGAGGCCAATGTCTTGAAATATTAGTGCATTTTATCATAAACCCCTGACTGTTAGTGCTACGGCACTGACCAGTGTTCTCACACATGGTGCAAAGTATAAGTTTGATACACGCATCAAAATGCATATCAGGTCCATGCCATTGTCACAAGTGGTTTGTTCAATCAGAGAAATGTCCTTTAGGGATGTTAAAAAGTTGTTGCTTTTTTTGCAGCAACTCACTATATACCACAGATTCATTTCAAAGTGGTTGCAGAGGCCAATGTCTTGAAATATTAGTGCATTTTATCATAAACCCCTGACTGTTAGTGCTACGGCACTGACCAGTGTTCTCACACATGGTGCAAAGTATAAGTTTGATACACGCATCAAAATGCATATCAGGTCCATGCCATCTCAAACACATGGAAGACTTTTCTGAATACTGTTCCAACACAGACATTGCCAACAGAATAAATCCAGCACGGCAAGTTTAACTACATCCATCTGTAGATGATTGCCCCTTTTAGCAATGGAACTCCCTTTTTGTCACAGCGCATACATTTTCAATACAAATAATACAAAAATGTAATGTATGGCTCCGTCAATTATTTACAAACTCCAAAGACATGCTGCATCTGTTGCATTCAATTCATTAAGACAACTTACATACATTTATGAATAGTTTGTACGAACTCTTTCATGAATGAGGCCCTAACAATTTCTGCATTTCCGCTCATCTTCATTAACTCATTTCCCTAATGGGACTGGTCATTATTCACATGTAGTAAATAAGTCCTAGTGTAGAACACCTAAAATTTTAACTGGCATTAAAGCAGACTATTCCAGAACGTAAATTAAATTCTCAATGATGTAAACAGTTTAGGTAGTACCTATCAGTACCATCCTTCCACCACACTTAAGTCTTTTTTTTTTTTTGCTGTCAAGGTCTTCAGTAATCCATAGATTATTATTTAGAGTGGACTTAGTTCCTATAATACCAAAAATGTCCGTTTGACCCATTTCTTCATTGCTATGTCAACAAAGTTGTGCTCTGTATTGTTGATTCTGTAGTCAATTCATTCTGCTGGTCTGCTCTGGGTTTTGTAGGCCTGCTTTCGAAGGTGAGTCTCGATCTCCTCCCTGAACACCAGCATGCCCAGGTGAGAGTGTGACGCCTCATTCATGGCCTTGGACTGGATGCACATGCGGTACTGTTCTGGGGTCAGTTCATCTGCGCAGAGCTTCTCATGCCACAGGTGGAAGAGGCCTGATACAGGCGTGCGGATCACAATCTGATCACTCCGTAGATACTTCCTGTACAAGTGCACATCTTCTACACCCCAGCCTTTCACTTCCAGATCAAATCCTCCTAGAAAAGAGGAACTGTGAGTTTATTTATATGAAACGGCAAGCAAAATATCTTTTATTGTAATTTGATGTATCTGATGCATTGATTTTAAATTACGCCGGAATAAAAGCATGTATCGATTCATTATTCCATTTGACAAATTAACGTTACGGACATATTTGAAATGGAAATGTATTTTGTTATAAATCAAACTTTTTCCACATTAAAATACACACCGACTTACCAATGCTGAGGAAGTCAGAGCGATACTGACAAGTCATGCCAAATCCAAAATCCCTCCAGAATCCGGCATCTTTTTTATGAATCTGTAAACAGAATACAGTTGCATTATTCACCTTTGTATCAGTAGAAAGCCATACATTCTACAAAGATGTAGGTTCATAGAAAAATCTTGATGTACATACCAGCAGATTCTCAATGGGGGGCGGAAACTCAAGATTTCCATAAACTATAGATGGATTGTACAAACTGAAAACCACCGGGTAGAAAACTCGTTTTCCTTCCAGGAAGAAGAAAAAAAATCACTTTTATTATGAAATGGAAATTTGTATTTTTATTATAAACATTTTAGTGTATAAAAAAAATTGAGGCATGACAATTGTCCATGACAACAAATCCTATTACTAAAATTATTACTGCTTAGTTGGAAAACAAAATAAAAGAGTGCACACAAACAAACATACAAACTTAATTCTATAGTGCAATTAAACAACAGTGCAAAATGGAAGAAATACGGATGTTTTATCTAGTAATGGGTCCATGAATTTTCAGATATAAAAGCTTGTTGACATGACAGACCTGGAGCTGTATTGAGACGACAGGTGCTAAGAAATTCCAGTGTGAAGTAGATGTCAACATCACAGAAGAACATCAACACGTCATCCCCCTTCTCCCACGTGTGAGCTCCAATGTCCAGACCACGGCCACGCGAAAACTCCTCATCCACAGGGATCAGAGTGTAGTTACTGAAGTTTTCCTCACTGGAGATCATGAATAAAAACGGTGTAGGAAACATAATGAGCTTTAGAAAATTTGTGCCAACCAAAGTGGGTAATACAGTTTGTACAATCTTTAATTAACAACCTACAATAACATTTATAAGCTAAGTCAGTAATATTTTTTTAATTATTTGAAAAACAAAAAAACAAAAGTCTCTTATGCTCAACAAGGCTGCATTTATTAGATTAAAGATAAAATAAAAACAGTAATATTGTGAAATATTATAACAACTTAAAGTAACTGTTTTCTATTTGAACATTTAAAAAAAAATAAAAAAGTTATTCCTGTGATGGCAAAGCTACATTTTCAGCATCATTACTACAGTCTTCAGTGTCACATGATCCTTCAGAAATCATATCAATATGCTGATTTGCTGCTCAAGAAAAAAAAAACATTGCTGCTTAATATTAATATAAATGCTGCTTAATATTTTGGTGGAAAACCTGATCCTTTATTCAGGATTTTTTATGTAAAGAAAAGTTCAAAAGAACAGCATTTATTTGAAATAGAAATATGTCTTTACAGTCACTGAAAGATTTAATGCATCCTTTTTTTTTGTTAACAACTGTTTATTGAATTTTCTTCTGGGAATAGTAATATAAAACAAAAAGCAACTGTGCAAATTTAAAACCCAACCCTAGTAGACTTAAAAATAAAGTATATTAAAAAAAGAAATAGTAATACAAATAAATGAATAATAATAATAGATAAATAAATAGCAATAAAATAATTTTTTACTAAGATTTTAGAATAGCAGACACAACATTAAAAGCGGAATGCAATTTAATGCATCCTTGATGAAAAAAAGTATTACATTTCTTTAAAAAAAGTACATAAATAAATAAATACATAATAAAAATCTTACTGACCCAAAACTTTTGAATGGTAGTGTACCTAAACAGATTATGTACCTTACTCAATAACTTTGAAAAAGCAAGTATATTTTCTGCTAGTCAAGAAAATTACCATTCTAATAAAGAACATTTCAACTGCCCCACAAACAGCAAATTCCTTTTCCTTGAGTTTTCTCCATTCAGGATGTTGGCAATCATAGAATGTTTCAGTCACGCTGTACACATAAAATATCAATATTTGCAAAGCTCACACCTGGACATTTTCCTCAGAGATGCCTTCACCTCCTGCAAGCCCGTCTGCCCAAAATACACCACTGTGAGATGCACCCGCTTGTCCTGCTGTATACAAACCTCCCTGCATACAGAAAACATTGCCTGATCACAACATTTCCAAAACTTCCAAAGGGAAAACCGCACTGGGAAACGTTCCCTTGTAAAACTGTGTAACATCTAGCTCTGTGTTGCCGCTACCCACACAGCTTTAGAAGTTCAACCATATTATCTGCAGCACACAAAAACACACATTCCCATAATCTCTCTTACATGCCGTCACATTTTTTGTTTGAAATGTCAATAGGAATCTGCACAATTGGGAGTTATGTATGTGTAAAAATGAAAAATGTCCCCACAGATTTTGCCTCGGATTCAAGTTGCAATTTGCCACTACTTGGTTTGAAAGTAAGTTCTGTGTAATCTGTGCTTCACACATCACTACACTTTTGACAATGGATCTTTTTGCTGTGAAATTTCATCCAAATTTCGTTAACAGAGTGCTGCAGAGATGATCTATTTTTTTAGGCCAAAAACCTAGAAACGTGTTCAGAACTTAAAGTTCCAGTTTCCTGAAGTCAATGGGTTTTTCTGAAATGGTTTTTGGTTAAATGCCTCAAATATGTTCTGTGGTTAACACAAGCTCAAGATATCTTCACATTTTATTCTGACATAAAATAAATCAGTTAGAATCCTTTGTGGTTTTTAAAGCTTTTAATTGTCTTGAAAAAGGTGGTTGTCAACAAGTGACTAAATGTGACTACAGAGGTTGTTGAGAACATTAAACGTCATCACGCTGAACAGGTAAACTCATCTACGCACTAGTTGCTTTTACAGCCTCATTATCGAATTCTTGCAAATTCTAACTCAAACTTTCAGGGAAAATGTTTTTAAATAAAGACTGAAAGAGTTGTCAGAATCTTAATGCTGGAGAGACTGAACTCATGCCAATGTGGTGTTTATTAGGCCTGTCACAATAATCAATATATCGATATATCGATATACGCAATATATGTACATGACCTCAATAACTTTTGGTGACGCAATATATCGCCCATTATATCTACTTAAAAAAATAATTTCACCATGTTTTGTACATTCCACTTGCGCCTGTGTCTTTTGCAGCTTCTCAAACATAACGTGATGTAGTCATGATGTGCTAGTTCAAATTTAAAAAATGCTTCTACAAAAAGTTTCATCAGCAGATATGGTCTTGTTTAGAGGTCTGTGCCTTTGTGCATACGGACATCTGACTGCTAAGTAGTGATTGTGTTTTTCAGCAATAGTGTGCACCCTTCATTTACAGAGAAAAGGTGGTCACGGAAAAATCTGTAGATGGAAAAATATCCGTACAAGTTTTTTGTGCATTTTTCTTTTTTTCTACTTGTTACTTTGCACTTTTTGTTAGAAAATGTTTATTTACTATTTATTCAGGTTTTTAAGGAATCTAATATTTAGATACTTAATCTAAATATTCTTAAAAATTTAAAGTTTGTTGTCATTTGGAAGTGTGTAGGCCATCCTGCATAATTATGCTGTTACATTGTGATTATATATTCAGTGGCATAAAATGGTCTTTAAAATGACAATAATATCGCTTATTGCAATTATTTCTGGGGCAATATATCGCACAACCAAACGTTGTTATCGTGAGAGGCCTAGTGTTTATAGCCTAAATTTAGCTTTCTACTTCTGCCGAATGTATTTAAGCTTCAAAATTCAGTTGTTTTCATTTGTGAAGACTATTATGATGAAAAAAGTGTGTAAGAATCATAAACCTCTGCCTGTCATACAGCTTGTTTTCAATGCAAAAGCTAATGGAAAAACACATTAGTTTTTTTGTTGATGATGCTTACTTACAGTTTAGCTTACAAAAAAAAAGTAATAATTAAGTCCACAAATTCTACAGTACTCCTCACCTGAAGTTGTGCAAGAACTGAACAAAGGCTTCAGTGCGGCCTGACAGCGGCACTATGATGTTAATGACGGTGCTGGCGGTGTCTACAGAAGTGCTCCTCACTTTCATCAGGGGCCCGAACGGACGAAAGAGGGTGACGTGACGGTACTCATGGGAATTCTCTTTAGCAAAGTAGAGCTCATACAGTGTGCCTTTGTCCCTCTCGGTCCTGTAGAGTCCTGCCAAGGATAGCAAGCACACAAGAGCAGCTCGAGTTACTGAATATTTTGTGCTGTGCAAAGTTCACACCACATTTATTATGCTCAAATACAACAAGAGCTGTTAAGAACACACAAAACCCTAACCGCATGGTGTGTTCAGCATATAAAGTAGTGCTTACTTCCTCTGAACAGCTTTTACCTTCAAAAAAGTGGCTTTCAGTGAACGTCTGCCTCTGCATGGGGATGTTGTCCTCCTGTCCGTCATCTTCCTCTGGGTTATTAATAATATCCAAACCTGCTTCTATCACCTCTACCAGCTCATCCCTCCGGTCCTTCCGCACAGGCTTCTCCTCAGGATGGCGCGTCAGGCCCATTTCCAGCTGGTACACTTTTGTGGTGGTGAAGCTCTCGAAGGGCACCAGTGCATACTCGCTCGGCAGCCTCGCTCCCGTGTTCACCTCTGCCTTGTCGATTTGTGAGTGCAAGTACTCCAAGAGGTCACCAGGCTCTTGATCTCTGCCATCGATCAGGCTCTGCGGTCCGGGACCCTCCTTTTTTTCTTGAAGTACCCTCAGTTTCTCACTCATCTCTTGGAGTTCTTGTTTGAGCTGCGCAATCTGTCTCTTGAGGCTGGCCGCTCGGCTGATATGCCGCTCTTCCTGCTCCTGCAGGAGGGTCTGGTAATACTCCTTTCCATACGGATCTCCTCCCAGGCCAGGCAGCACCTGGCTTACATCCGCAGGCGGCGTGCACTCCAGCAGGTAAGCAAACAGCAGCAGTACCAAAAGCAAAAATATCCCCAGGACAAGCCAGCGCGCCCGCCCCTGCAGAGGAAGCCCCCGCCTGGGCATATCTGAGAGGCAGGGTGCTCTTTACCAGCCACCGTTTTGCATTCCCACCCTGACAAGATGTAACCTTTAGGAAGGATTAAGTCTTTCACATTAATCCATTCCCAAGTGAAGCGGAGGGAGCGCGGTAGTGTCACATTTCTCTTGTAATCATGCTCCTCTCACTCTACAGCACACGGAACATGCTCAGATTCCTCAGAGATGTGTGAATATACCGTCGACGACCTGTCATCCTGCTTGCACAATATTCCTCTTCTAAGAGAAAGAACTCATCTAAAAAGAGATTACAATAATTAATCATATATTTTCCTCATCAGTACATTTAGACTAAACAAATACATACAAATAAAAACGTATAAAATAATTTAACACCCAGTAGTGCCTTGTTGTTTAACTAAAGAACAGTCAGTAAAACAAATTGTGATACATCCATAAATGTATAATCTCTTATGTGCTATCTATTTATGAAACATATATATATATATTTAAACACAAGCATAAATATAATGAATTAAATTTGTAAAAAAGTCTATGTAGTAAAAGACTGCAATTCTTCGGATCGAAACTTAGAATGGATAATCTAAAAATAAGACGTTAAGGATAACTTAAATGTTTTAATAATAAGTTAATAATCAATATTTCATATACATCATGTATTCATTAATTTAGCAAGTAGCCGTGTTTTAAGCGGGGTCGGACTCCTGATCAGATCACGCTGTTTATTTTGCCGGCACAAATAAAAACGTATAAAATAATTTAATACCCAGTAGTGCCTTGTTGTTTAACTAAAGAACAGTCAGTAAAACAAATTGTGATACATCCATAAATGTATAATCTCTTATGTGCTATCTATTTATGAAACATATATATATATATATATATATATTTAAACACAAGCATAAATATAATGAATTAAATTTGTTAAAAAGTCTATGTAGTAAAAGACTGCAATTCTTCGGATCGAAACTTAGAATGGATAATCTAAAAATAAGACGTTAATGATAACTTAAATGTTTTAATAATAAGTTAATAATCAATATTTCATATACATCATGTATTCATTAATTTAGCAAGTAGCCGTGTTTTAAGCGGGGTCGGACTCCTGATCAGATCACGCTGTTTATTTTGCCGGCTGACTGTACATTACCCCACACACTGTATGAATTTTATGCACATGTACGTGTAACTTATACCGCAATTCTTCCTGATGTTATATACATGCTTGCGCCTTATTATAAACCAAGTTAGCACCTAAGACTCTGAATAATACTAATTAAGTTTGCTTCTAAATCATCAAAGAAATACACCTTTAAGCGCACAGGGAAACATCTGGCTAAATGTTGCTGTTGGCACAAGAAAAATCTAACGGTAACGTTACCAATATAATGTGTGGCAGAAAACGTCGAGGTTGAAGTTGTTTTAAAAAATAAACACGGAAATGTGCGACACTTACCTCGGTAGTTGTGACTGTATGAGGCTTTCGGTAACCGCTTCTTTATGCGACTGTTCAATAGAATACCGAGCATAATGACTGTGGGAACAGAACGCCACGGGGCAATGAAAAAAGGAAGCACAATAAAAACGCACGTTACTTCCGCTATGAGCCGCATATTTTCAAAATAAAAGCCTGTCTGGATGTTTTACAAATCGTTAAACCCTATGGTTAACAAAATGCACTATAATTATGCCATTTTTGATAATCTACTTTGAAATTTAACTCACTTCCTTTCTTTGAAATGGTATGTCATGTGTTTATAGGTTTGTATTTTTCTCTATTCGTGCTGCTGCTCCACTTACGCCAGGAAAAACTTTTAATGCGAGTCCCATGTTGGTGTTATCTGATTTAAATAAATCTTCCTATTCACAGAGCAAAACGACAAACTGAAGGAAACCTCAAATTGATGGTTTCATACCCATTTACATAGGGTACGTTGGACTTGATTTTCAGATAATTCATTCATTTTTGTGGTCACAGTACTAATGTGTCATGAAATCCATGCCTCAAACCTTAGGATGTCAGGATGAGCAAATGTTACCACATTTAAATCTATTTGTGTAAATAATTAGAATTATTCTTTGGTTGCTCTTTAATGAAGTCTGAGAATGAAATAGCATAAAACACATTCAATTAAACCTTGCATCTTCTAACAGTTTTATTGATTGAAACGTAATGTTCTGACAACATAATGAGGAATCACACTCAGGTTTATGTATTGTAGTTACTGTTGCACAATGAAAATTAAATCACCATATGACATTAAATTAAACATATCAATACTCTGTTATGGCAATATTCATAACTCGTAGTTACCACAGAGCAAAATATCAACATTTAAAAAAACAAAAATTAATTGATTCTGTCATATCCTGACACATAATCAAGAATAATTTTTTTCTTTCTTCAAATAAACATGTCCAATCTTTGCAGCAAACATCTGCAGTAAGTGATGGTAAAGAAGCTCCCTTTAATTCCTGGAGTGGGACCAAGATTGTCTCGGTCATGCATTTATAACTGGTGTTTTCTAACAGAAGCGGCACAGGCACTTAAACATGGACATTAAACTGTACAGAGTCATGCAGTGATACAACACGGCTGACAGGGCCTTGTGGTAACAATCACCTATGAGCTGCTTGAAGCATGTTTTATGCAATTCCAGCCAATTTGAAATCTATTACCATCCTCCCATCTTCTACACAACAGCAGAAATAAAAGGGAACCGACTTTATCATCAAACAACATATATACAGTATCATATAAATATACACATCTCCCCACCCCCCATATCTTTTCCACCACTGATTTTGGTTTGCTTTTTTAACTATCGAGCGTGTCCACAATTTTTGCGGGAGAATGCAAAGCCATCCAGTTTGCATAAACACTATCATTGGCATATCTTGTAAAGACAGGGTTAGTGGCATCGAGTCTGTTGAGCGGTACCGGGCTCTTCTCTGGCCAGTTCGGGTATGACATGCCTAAAAATGAGAACATATCATTTTTCTGCACTGAGGAAGCATTAAGTCCAGACAGTAAGGCTCTCAAACGAAACTCAGCTCAGCTTTTGAGCATTAAACAGCATGAATGACTCATGGTCATTTCATGGTAGAAGCATGAAATCATTCTTTGGTCCTTTGAGTGCTTTTTGGTCATTCATGTCAATATTCCACTGTGATGACGTCGTCTATTGTATGACATCAGTATTGTTACTGCTGTTGTCTTTGCCATTTTATGTACAATCATTTTAAATGAAATAGATAATCAGTGCTCTACTAAAAGGTTTTTTGTGTACTCGCAGAAATAACAGACATCAAGGAGTCTCTGAATAGCAACTGCCTTACTGCTGGCCGTTTTATTGCTTACTATCAACGCCATAATTTTGGGGAGAGCTAACAGAGTTTTGCATATCTTGATATACGATCTAAAAGAAGAGTTTAATTCAAAAGCCTTACTGCTTTCAGAACTGACTCCATCTACTGTAAACACTCATTTTCTGTAATATGTTCAGAATATTACAGAGAGAGCACATCCAGAGCACACGGGACCTGTTTCAAATGTAAAACTTAACCTACAGTGCTGCAAACCAATAGAAAATTCACATATGATGTAAATCATGAAACGCATCTAATTATATTTTCCTAACTGAACATAATACATGTTAAGTTTTTTGTATATAAATGAAAATTATTAACTTTTTTTTATCAGTAGTAATAATATTTGTACAATAAAGCTTTTTAAAATGAATATTTCAAATAGTAGAGTACATCGGAAGCAGGTCCAAATGAAACATCTGATCCCTAGATCCACACTACAGCACTAACTGAATCTATAAAACATTAGCAATATTCATAAGTCAGTGGCAACCATGCCGTTAGCACAATCACTGCACTTCCTATGGAAGGCAAAAACAAACTGATTTTGTTCCCAGTATTAGAATCGAGTAAATGCATGGGAAATTCTACCATAGAGCTTGTTTTCAATCCAAGTGGAGGGGAGGGTTCGAGGGAGAGGGGGGTTACTACAGTCCACTAAAGGTGTGTCCTCTTCAGAGAGGGAGTCGTCATACAGCAGGGCGTCTGCTGGCGTGGAGGCTGCGAGATCCAGATAGTCCTGATGAAGGGAAACACAGTTATGAAAATCAGACTAGTGGTACCATAACTCTTCAGTGTAACGTCACATACTTCATGTGAAAAAATGTTTCTTGAGAATGAGATTTTTCTTGATTCACTAGTCAACATCATTAGAAAGCAGGCTGTCAAATTACATTAGTTGCTAAAGGTTAGCATAACAAAATAAATGACGGTACATTTAAGTGTAAATATGGCCAGTCTAACATTTAATTTATTCTAAAATATAACAATGTTTTTTGGAGTCAAGGTGCTGACAGTTGATCGGTGTTCATCCATTGTTTTCACGTTGTTTTAACATCGTCCCTTACCTTGGATAATTTTCATCTTTATGACAACTTAAATTAATAAACAGACTACCATTCAAAACTTTGGGGCCGGTAAGATTTTTTAATAATTTTGAAAAAAAGTCTCTTATGCTCAATCAGGCTGCATTTATTGGATTGAAAATACAGTAAAAAAGAAAACAAAAAAACAATTACTTTAGTCTTCATTGTCACATGAACCTTCAGAAATTGCTGTAATTTAATAATTTAATATGATGATTTGGTCCTCAAGAAACACTTATTATTATCAATGTTGAAAACAGTCGTGCTGCTTAATATTTATGTGGAAATGTTGATAATTTTTTTTTTGGATTCTTTGATGAATATAAAGTTCAAAGAACAGCATTTACTTCACTTTAGATTCATTTAATGTGTCCTTGTGGAATAAAAGTACTAATTTCTTAAAAAAAAAAAAATCTTACTAACCCCAAACTTTTGAATCGTAATGCACGTATAAGGTAATTAGGGTGTAAATATTATTTTGATTGGGATGTTTGACTTAAAGTTCATACATGATTTGTGAAGACAGGCTCAGCTCAGGTTGTCATTTCATGAAGTTCAACAGAAGTGTTTTGATTTGTGTCGGTGTGTGACTGTCTGGAGAAAAAGTACTTGTTTTATTCTTACTCGGCTTTTCACCATCATCTTCTCAAGTTCTTTGCTGATGTCTGAGAAAGTAGGACGCTTATCTGGCTCTTGTTTCCAACAACGAAGCATCAGATTGTACCTATATTACATAACAGAGCATTCATCACCTGATACAGAACATCTCTGATTGTCACACCTAAATAACTGATTCCTTTAGGTGAAATTAAGTACATGTTGTGTCCATAATATTGTATGAGACATTCTAAATTCATATAAAGCAAAATATGCTAACTTGAATGTTAAGTGATATACAGTGGGGCAAAAAAGTATTTAGTCAGCCACCAATTGTGCAAGTTCTCCCACTTAAAAAGATGAGAGAGTGATAACATGGTGGTTTTAGAAAATGATTTGTTCATTCAGCTCTCAAATCTACAACACATTCAAGTGATGTACACACATTTCATATGTGCAGTTCTCTGGCTTCTCCATCCTGTAGCCCGTCTTCAGAAGGTTGAAAAGACGTTCTGGAGCAATGCCTGGGTAGGGGTTTCCACCCAAAGTCACAATCTCCCATAAGAGGACACCAAAAGACCAGCTAATGCAAGAAAACAGAGAGAGAGACATTGTACTGTAAAGTTGTAATGGAATAAGTCCTCATTTAAAAAAATATTTGTTATTGACATTTCTTTGTAATTATATGTGAAATCATACACCCAATTTCATTGTATTCAGACATGCTAAATATAAATTGGTGATTGTCTGTATAGAAGCATTTGTTGTATAACTTACACATCACTTTGTGTGGTGTAGATGTGATCAAACAAAGATTCTATAGCCATCCATTTAACAGGAATACGACCCTAAAAATTGAGAGCACATTATGACATACAGTATTAAGTCTAACGAATGTAAAATTGCATTGCATGTTCATTACAAGTTTTCTCGAGCACAAATATTCAAACATCTGTAAAACATAGGATGTAACTAGTTTGCCACAGTTAAAAACAAAAACAATATATATATATATATATATATATATATATATTTTGTTTTTGTTTTTAACTTTGTGGTTTTTAACTATATATATATATATATATATATATATATAACCTTGCTCCTCTTCACATACGAATCTTCCTCATAAACATCTCGAGATAAACCAAAGTCGGATATTTTCATCTTCCTTCCCTCTGCCACCAGCACATTCCTGGCAGCCAGGTCTCTGTGAACAAGCTAAACATATTTTCTCTCATTATAACATCGTTCTTTAAAAGAGAACATTAAATATTCTGTGATGGATATTCCCTAAACTGCTGACACACCTTCATTTCAGCCAGGTATTGCATTCCTCTGGAGATCTGCCATGCAAAGGAGATGAGGTCGCCCATGGTCAGAGCTCTCTCATCTGGGTTTTCCAAGTAGCTGGAGTTGCGGTTGGCATCATTGCCCATGTAGCTGGGTCCAACTTTCCGGCTCTCTCTCAGGAAGTTCCGCAGTGAGCCGTACTTTG